GAATTAGTCACCCATACTCAGGGGAGGGAGAATAACGCCTCGAGTAGGACAGATGGGGTGGCAGGATTCGAGTGAAATAGGTGAACAAGGGGTAGAGCTGATAGATTTTACGGAGCAAGCCAGAAACTGGGATAAGACTAGGAAAGAGGCTGCATAATAATAAAGCAGACTCTAATCAACATTCCCTGCACAAGGATGAAGAGGGAGGGGTGAGAACGACAATTGGAGTATGAAGTTGCTATGTCGCTCAAAGGAGCACGCCACACTATATCTAAATAAAAACGGCAAAATTGTAATAGTGAGGGCATGATAGGATGATACCGGAAACGCAAATAACCCAGGGCAGAATGGAAGATACCACAATTGTTTATCACACGTTTGGTCAAAGGATCAGCTTCACTTGTCTCTGACGAGTTGTTATGTGGTGCTAAGAATGGCGATACTCACTGACTATGCCGACTACGATCCTGGCGAAACGTTTGGGAATGTACCACATCAACGGTTCAACTTTGTAAATGATCATGCAGACAATTGACTCCGGAAAAAGTGCGTTCCTCTAGGTCTTCCTACCAATATGACTATGTTGCGAAGACAAGGTTAAACAACCTCTTACTTATTTTTTCTTTGTAATAAGTTTTTTCTGAACTTATTTCACATCTCTGATTTACTGATAGTATCGATAAATTATGCTAATCAATTACTATAGTAAATATAACTTTGCTTCATTGACAATTCCACAACAGAATGTGATATGGGAAAATGCCTGGCTTTCCTTGAATTCCCATATGCCTTGTGACCCACGGGAACTTGTGGAATTGTTACGTAGTGTTTAATTTGTAGAGACTATCAGCTGCACTTTCATTGCTTGAGTCTCGCTTGTGTTTCTTAAGTGGCCTAGGCGAAGTCGAAACTGCAGTCGACCCTGGATGAGAATACCTTTTGTGAAGCAAGCCTACGTGAACTTCATTTGATGCGTAAGATCTATTCATATATCGGGTAAAGTCAACTATCATTAGTCCATCATCACCTTATAGCAAATATGATGAAAATATCACGTATAAATAATGAATCTGCCTATAATTGATAATGAGTTAAGATAAAATTTACCCCATTTTGCTTACAGATAACTAAACACTAGTCACATGGATTACGTCGGAGTGGATGGCTCGACGGTAAAGCTGGCTCCGCCGCATGAATTCGGTCACCGTGCCATTTCCTACGACCTCATAAACAATGTAAACTCTATTTTGAACCATGTGCACACAGTTGGCAGTGACGAACCTCTTGTATTCGAGACAGGCACCTATTGGTGCCCAAGCGGGGCCGGCACCCAAAACCATGCAAACGCCAATTCCTACCATGGCCAAACGAGCTTCTATTCATCTCCTGCATACTCCTCGGTCTATCATCCATGGAATATGCCCGGAGGACGATCCGCTCCCGAGGCTGCCTTCAACTTCAGCACCAACGCGGGTATTGGTCCGAACCAGCCAAGTTCTGTCTGGAGTTACATGACGCCCATGGCTTCAGGCCAATCCGAATTCTCGGGGCCCTGTCGTTCCTGCTATCCACAAGGACAAAATATCACCTTGCAGACCGGTGAGCAATGGAATCGGATCGGCTGACAAACGTCTTCCCACAACAGTTTTTTCCTGTCCTTCCCCGTGTGCTGTTCTGGAATAAAAGCTGTCTCATTCGCCAAGTGTGTGTTAAATGCCAAAAATTTTAAATTTATCTAACAATAGTGATCGGCATTGCTCTAGAAAACAACACTTCTTTGCAAATTTTAAAGTGGGAAGTTGAGCACATGACGACATTTGCTCGAGGTTATGAAGCTGGTCAAAGCTTAAACACTGATGCTAGTACCAAGAATAGTAGTAAAGCATAGGTACTCCGTTTTATTTGTAGAATGTGAATAGGTGATTGCGTTGATGTATAAGGTCGTGAACGGTTAGATACTACTGATTTACTTTATTTGTAAGTGTGCGGCATAGTGATATGGGCTAAATGGAAGAAATTCTGATGTTTGAGCTGTATGAAAATTTGGATTTGCATGCTTTGTCAGACGCCTGCCCGATAGCAGCATCGCCTAAAGTGATATCTACAAGAAACCTTTGATTGTGGATCCAACTCATTGCTCTCTATGGGTTTGCCCTAACGTTAGCGGAGTTCATAGTTTGCCTCAAAGTGTGACTAACATACAAATTATTTATTTGTCTAAATGCTCCTTGTTAGAAAATTTAATATAGAATCTATTGGGCAAGTTTGACAATGGCATCTCAATACGGTGGGGAAATATGAGTGAATAGAAAGTCACAACAGAATTCTTGAACCTGAAGATAATGGAAAACCAATTATTAAAATCTTGTTATCTCAGGAGATTTATCGAAACCCAGTTACTCTTCGTATCTATAAATTTGCGAACCTATGAGTATTAATGCTTTTTATCATGCCTCTTTTCTGTCCATTAATTATTCGTGCTATTTCAGGGTGAGACAATGAATCAGTCGCCTTGAACAAGTGCATTTGTGTACGTTGCACTAAGAATGAGCTCTTGACACGTTTCGACCCCCTACAGATCAGCATACTTTATGAGTTCAGTTTTTATTTTTATTCGAGGCAACACATAATATTCTCAGCTGTTCTGTACCATTTCAGTCTCCAAAAATTATTTCAGCTATTCCAGTGAAAAGTTAAATGCCATTCAATAGAGCATGTCACCCCATTCTTCATAAACGTGAATAAGATAATTTCAAAATTTTCGAAGCTTTCGTTTTAACAAATATTTATTTGATTTATCTTATTTGCTTAATCTTCACCTAGTTATTCTCGCAAAAATACTTTTTCTTATTTAGCTCATTGTAATTGCCTTTTTTACTAGGAATACTCTTCATATGATTTGATTAATGGGGTTTGGTAGTTTAATCAGGGAATCGATAGAGGATCAGATAACCGCATATCACCCTTAATGAAGATGATGATCTCTGCTATCCGTGGGACTGGCTTAAATGGTATTAAAGTTTAAATCCAATGTTGTCTAGATATATACGTTTACGAGCAAAATTATATAGCCGTAAATGTAACTATGCCTCAAATAGATAGCAGGAAAGTAGATCCATATTAATTTGGACATTTTGGCAAATTAGATGCCTTCAAACAATAATTCATCGAAAACCTATTGCTCAAAGCTTTACTTTAAGCCCTCAGAAGTGGAAGGCTAATTGGATAAATACTCAAGGTCTAACAACTGAGACAAAATATCTGTAGGTGGGTCCTTTTGACTTTCCTCTCAACAGCAGCCCTTTAGGCCCCTTAGGATGGACCGACTCTCACATACTACGAATTCCATAAAATACTAAGCATACTTTGGCTAGTATATTACAATAGAACAATCGAGGATGTAATTTCAAGCTGGTCATTAGAATGCGAAGAAAAATTGGATTTTGAGGAAGCTCTTGGTTTATAAATGTTTAGCTCATTTCCATTTCGAGTAGTGTTTGGTGAATAGATTTTAAGGTCGAGTTCACCAGATGACGATGGTGAATTCCCCTTGACTAGCTATCGAATGGCTTTATTGGAACATTCTCTTTGACGATGTTCCCGAGGCAACCCCCTTCGGTCACAATGAAAGCGTTTTGATATTTCCTTCGCCGTAAACATTTGAACTGGAATCAAAAGAGACTGTCTTGGAAACAGAGTTACCAAGAATGTTCCTGTAAAGCCAATCGACAGCTGGCCAGGAGTTCGCCAACGTCGTCTGGTGGAATCGACTTTCAAGTCTCTTCACCAAACACTTTCACTCGAAATGGAAGTGAACTCAGCAATGGTCATTATT